TAAAATAAAATTTTAAAAAAGCTAAATTTTATAAACTCAATCTTCCCAACAGTCAAGGAAATGCCAATGAAAACAGTGAAGAAGTAGCCTCCTCGCTGGCCATCAGACCATGCGTACCCTTTGAAACATTGATGATGCTCCATTTCTGTGAGGCTGGGGGTGGGGCAGGCACGCCCACACGCCGGTGCGGAGCGAAAGTTGTGCACCCTGTTTGGAAAGCAATTTTGAAAAATGTAGGAAGAGCCTTAAAACCGCTCTCTGGCCTCGTGATTTTATGTCTAGAAGGTGTTAATGTAAAAACATTCAAACCGGTTAAAGCATTTTTGTGAGTTTATTTGAGCCAAACTGTTGACAATTGCCAGAAAGCAGAATCTCAACGGGTTGGGACAATGCTCCAGAGAATAGCCGTTTTTCATCCATTTTTATACATTGCAATCAAAGGAGGAGACATAGGTGGGTTTCATGAAATCCACTGGTGATAGATTAGGGAGGCGGGAGAAAGCAAAGTGGGGGTGGAGGTGGGGGGACCTCTGGGATTGTATAAAGAGTAAAATGATAGACATTACTTAGGGGGGTACAGGATGGTTAACAATCAACAATTAACATGATAACAATAACAATGAAGGAGTTTGTGTCTCTGTCCTGGCGCCCAGGACATTTGGTTGTTCCCGAGGACTCTAGAAAAAGGGAAGTTACAAGTTACCCTGACATTTCAAGGGTATGTTATGGTAGATGCAAAAAGACAATACGCTCAGTTAAGGTAAAGGTCAGGGAAGATACAGGCCTAGGAGGTGACTACCCATCATCACTGCTTTTAGTTCAAGTTTAATTTCAGACCATCCTTTGTGGTGACTTTAGGTCTCTGAGTTTGCAAGACAGCCACGCAGGCCTCCCCGGGCTTGTCAGGTCAGCATGTGGCCCCTGCGTCCACAAAGGCTACTGCAGGAAGCAGAGATACGCTCAAAGATGGTGAATGAGAAGGCTTTCGCCAGCATCATGTACAATATAATACCAACGGCGGACACATACATCGTGGCCGGAGCATACATGGCGAGAGAATGACCCGCAACCTCTACAGCTTACAGTGGCCGGGACTTGGTCAATGAGTCCAGCTTCGCTGATTTGTATTCTCTCTGCTGAGGACTAACCAGAGCAGTCAAATATGCTCCCCTAATCAATGACAGAGGACGGCCCACGTCCATGAGCCTGCCCGGCTTCCCGGGAGGGTGCCTCCGCCAGGGCACGCCTGCAGCCTTCCTGGTTTTCCCCTACGAAGCTTTCCCAGTGGCCGCCTGCCTGTGAGTCTGCACCAGCACAAGTGATGGGGCGACGCCCCGTGAACAACAAACTCAGGGATGAAGCCCTGGCTTGGGTTCGTTTGCGTGGTCCTCGTTCATTCCCACCGTGGGGAGACCGGTCGCTTCGTGCTTCGTCCGCGTCAGGCTCTGCAGGTCACTGCTGTCCTGCTTTGGAGCCAGAGACTCATCAGAGGCTCCTCCTCCGCCCACAAGGAACTGGAGACAATTTGGAAGATGTCAACATCCTTGTACATGCCGTTTCCATCGGCGACCGCTCAGCAGAGACACGCTGGGGAGCAGGGCAAGGGCTGGCTGCGCCCGGGAGTGGAAGGAGCAGCAGTTTGGCAGCGAGACACAGGGAAGCTTCCACGGGCCGGGCTCTGGATTCGGAGCTGGGTCCAGTCCCAGACGTGCCCATCGGGCCTGGTACCAGCGCCGGTCCCCCAGGACCCCTGTGGACTGGAAGGAGGGCAGGCTGAGACCCGGAGGGCTGAGTAAGGCAGGCAGCTGTCACTCACTGTTCCTCTCGCCCATCACCCTCCCTGGCAAGGCCATGGCTCCGGGCGAGGGCTGAGCCTGGGAAAGGCATTTCGAAAGTGGCTCCCGAGTGAAGTGGGCGCTTTGGGGAGTGAAGATCAATAGTGATTATCTGCCCACGTGGGGAAGGGAAGGAAGCTGCCAGGCCTTGCCGCAGGGAAGAGATAAGGGGGGGGAAAGTGGAAAAGGTCTGGAAGGCTCAAGACCCCCCAACCCCCAGCCTCACCTCCGGCTGCATGTTAGCACGCGGCCCCTTTCGTCCACAAAGGCTACCGGGACAGTCTGGGAGGGCCTGGGTGGTGGGCGCCAGGACAGGAAGCTCCTGCTGCCTTTGTGCCCTGAGGCTGCTCCCGGGTTCTGACACCTGTGCGTGGCCTGGCCACACACACAGCTTCTCCGGACCCTCCCCTCCCCTCTGGGAGAGGAGGGCCCCTGCCGCCCTCCAGTGAGCAGGTGGCTGAAGAGTGAGGGAAACTGGTGTGAAAATGGCATGCGGGTGTGAGATTCTTGTTGCCACCAGGCGGGTCCCTTTGCACCCAGGTGTGGTGAGGCTGTCAGAGGGTGAGGTAGGGCGTTCCGCTGCCTGCTTGGAGGGGCTCACATGCACTCTGCCCCCTCTTTGTCCCCCTTGCTTTTAGCAAAACTCCCCTTGGGAGAGGCGTCTGTTTAGCACTGAGCAGGCACCCTCCACCTACTATGTGAATTGTCATCCTGCCAGAAGCCCCTGAGCAGGTGCTGCTAATACGCAGCATGTAGGTGAGGGTCCCCAGGTGGGAGGGGCTTGGTGACTTTGTGACTTTGTTGTCACCAGGGGGGAGGATGGTTTCAAAGCTGATGGAGAGGCTGCATCTCCCGTCAGCCCTCACTGGCCCGTGGATGAAACTCTCCAGCGGCCCCTGCTGAGCCTCAACGCCGGCCACAGCACATATGTATTCTCTCAAGACAGCACACATTTATTCTCTTAGAGTTCTGGAAGCCAGAGGCCAAATGCGTCTGCACAGCTGCTGCTGGGGTGTGGAGGGCTGGTCCCCTCGGAAGCTCCAGGGGAGAGAGCCTTACCCAGGTTCCAGAGGCTCGTGGCTGCACCACCCCAGTCCCTGCTCCGGTGTCACTTTGCCTTCTTGTAACCCAGGAATGGGTCCGTGGTTTGGCCCTGGGGCTGGTGTGCAAACGCGAGGACCCACGGACTGGGAATCCGTTTAACGATGGAGAGCATCGAATGCACTTGTCCTCCCCTTCCGGGAAGCAGCCATGATTGCTGGCCGACACGGTGGTGGTTAGGTTAGGGCAGTGGCTGCACCTGTGGCAGCAATTTAACGTCCAAAGCAGCCTCCCACCTGCCAGCTGCTAATTACAGAGGAGAGGAGCCAGACAGTTAACCCGGTGCCTGCTCCGGGCTCTGCGGGCCGGTCGCGGCGTCCCGGGTGCTGGCTGATAGCGTGAACACAGGACGGCTCTCGCTGGGAAGACCCGCACTGCTGCTCCTGTCCTGAGGGCCGAGGCGGGTCCCCGCAGATGAGAGAGTAGCCGGCGGGCAGATACTCCCCACGGTCTTCCTGCCCACGAGCCACCCTCACATCGTGGGCCCACGAGCCTACGAGCTTCCATCACCATCTCCCCTCCCGCTCCTGAGGTGAGCTTAGCCAGGACTGTGTGTTGGCCCGTGGGTGGATCCCAGGTCCCACCGAGACGCCAGGTGTGAAGGAGTGTCCAGGTGCAGAAGAGAGGAAGATGCTGGAGCAGCCCTGTGGTTGGCAAAGTGGGGTCCCAGGGAGAGGTTGGGGGGCCATCCTGGCAGCTGCACAAAGCGAGAGGCCGGGCCAGCTGGTGGAGGGCAATAGGAGATGTTGGGGGGCAGGCAGGAAGGAGTTGTCGTCTGGGAGGTGTGCTGGGAAGTGGGAAAAATTCCACAGGCCTGGTGCTCATGGCCGGCTCCACTGCCTAGAAAGGCTTAAAGCATCCGGTGAGTATTGGGGAGCCAGGGGGTCTAGGTCTGGACAAGTAGCGGTTCCTGGCGGGGTTACAGGCATGGGGAACATCTGTGGGGGTGCGTGCTAGGTCATGTATCAGATGGGGCTTCTTAAGAAGAAGGTGGGTCAGAACTGAATGCTCAGTTGATGTGGCACTGCTGGGCTAAGCCGAGGAGCCCTTAACTACCCCCTCCTTCCCCCGACTCAGGGGTGGTCTCTGTGTTCGGCTGAACAATGGCCCCCAAAGACAACCTCATCAAAACTTCTGGAACCTGTGAATATGACCTTTATGGCAAAAGAGGACTTTGCACACGTGATCACATTGAAGATCTTGGAATGGGCTGATGATCCGGCATTATCCAGGTGGGCCTGAGTGCCACCACAAGGGTCCTCATAAGAGGGAAGCAGATGACGAGGCAGCCATGTGACCAGGGAGGCAGAGGCTGGAGTGATGTGGCTGCAAGCCAAGGAACCCGGGCGGCCACCAGAAGCTGGATGAGGAACAAAGGATGCTCCCCTAGCGTCTCCAGAAGGAGCCGTCCCCGCTGTCACTCTGATTTTAGCGCCTTAAGACGCATTTTGCACTTCTGGTCCCTCAAACTGCAAGGGAACACATTTGTGTTGTTCTGAACCACTAAGTTCGTGATATTTGTTACAGCAGCCACAGGAAACTCATACAGTCCCAGGCAGAGAGCGGCGGGCTCCCGGAGGGGCTTGGGGACCCCAAGTTGCTGTCAGAGTGACTGGAGCTGAAAGTCAGGCCTGTGGCCCCCTGTTATCTCAGAGTGGAGACTATGTGGGCAACACCGAGGGGCTGGGGCAGGGAGAGTGTCTCCCTTTCATTTTGTACCTTCCTGTACTGCTTGTCTTCTACCACTGAATGTCTTTATTTTTTAAAATGCCATTAGAGTTATCAGTGAGGGGAGATTTTGTGTTTCCTTGTTTGTACTTGTCTAAGGTAGGAGGAAAAACTCTCGCACCCACCACCAAGAGGATATATTCTGGATTCGGTTACTCTCTCCTGGGGGATCTGCCTTGTGAGCCCCTCCTGGCTGCTCCCTCCCTCTCCTCCCCCCTCTCTCCCTCCACTTCTCTCACCAGTTCTCCTTGTCTGGAGAACTGCTCTCTTGTCTATGGGCATCCAGGTCCTCGGGTGCCTTTTTAAGGGTGTATTTTCCTAAATAAAGATGATCCGGCCCGGCTGGCGTGGCTCAGTGGTTGAGCATGGACCTATGAACCAGGAGGTCACGGTTCGATTCCCGGGCAGGGCATATGCCCAGGTTACAGGCTTGATTCCCCAGTGTGGGGTGTACAGGAGGCAGCCGATCAATGATTCTCTCTCATCATTGATGTTTCTATCTCTCCCTCTCCCTTCCTCTCTGAAATCAATAAACATATTTTTTTATTTTAAAAAGATGATCCGTTTCTTACCCGAGTGTCCTGTCCCCTGGCCGCTTGGTGTGTTTTCACCTCGTTGCCCACATTGGTTGCACACTTATTTCACACCATGCCATGTGTTCAGGGCTTCACTATTATCCTGTCCTCACGGTCATTTCATAAAGTGGCTGGTAGTTCCCGGTTTTAAAGGTGAGAGAACGAACTGTGGGAAGTTTGGAGACGGGCCCGAATCAACACAGCCAGTCCTGGCTGACCAGGGCTGCTCTCAAGGTCACCACACCCAGGCGGACGCTGCCTGCCGAGGAAGATGGGCAGCTGGCCCGACACCCCGGGGCTCTGGGGTGGCTGAAACCCTCGAGGGGGACTCCCTCTACTCCTCCCCCCATTCCCTCAGCGGGGCACAGACGGAGGCCAGAACCACCTCTGGGGAGGGCACTAGCTGGTTCTGATGGGCCCGGTGTGTGCACAGGATTTGGGTGCGTTTCCTGTTTTAGAAACTGACCTTGGGGAAGGACAGCTCCCGTTGAGCCCCAGTTTTCACTCCCACTGCAGCTTAAGGTCGTTTTTCTCTCTTGCCCTCAAAATCAGAGGTGGAGAGTACTGGGTCTCCTCCGTCACTGTGTTCTGTGGTTTGAGGGTAGGGGGTGCATGCGGACTTGTGCTCATGGGCACACGTATGGGCCATGAATTACCGTCAGTCTTGCACTCCTGAGCCTGAACTAACCTCCGTTGTGTGAAAACTTGAAGCAAAAAAGACAAAACCTAGGTGCTTGTGGTTTGGGATTATAACACGTGTGTGTGTGTGTGTGTGTGTGTGCGCGCACGCATATGCCTGTGTGTGTGGCGCATTTGTGCATGTGTATATATGTGTTAGATGTGTGTCTGTGGGCTGTTTGATCTCTGCCCCCAATGCAGTTCCTGAGCCTCACAGAGTGAGCGGCGCCCCAGCAGCCCCTCACGGATGCAGGCTGTCGCCCTGTAACTCAGGTGAGCAGTCAGGTAGGGTGGTTTCCGATTTCCCCGTCTCCAATGGACCCATTTCTTTCTCAGCCCTCTGACAAGTATTGGATGCCTTCTGAAGAAAACACAGGGGGAGGAGGGTGACAAGTGAGAGGTGTCCTGTCCACCCAGCCTTGGTCCCCAAGAAGAAAAACAGATCCATGTAGGACCCCTGATCCTACAGATCCTGTAGGACCCATGCCTGGCTGAGTAGCGCCTGCCTCCTCGGCAGCCTGGACATGTCAAACCTAAGGTGTTAGCACATCCAAACCAAGAGCAGTCTAGTCTGGAGGGCAGGCCCAGATGCCTCCTAATGAGAAGTCAAGAGAAAGGAATGTGCTAGAACAGATGCAGAAAGCACTGGCTGGGAGCCAGGACGGCTGCCCTCGGTTGTGGAAATGCATGGTCTGACCGCCCTCCCTGCGCTTTGGCTTCGGATAAGGTTCCTGCCTGTTGAAGTCGTGAGTAGGTCACCCTCCTGGCCGCCTGGTGTGTGGTTTTTCTAATTCTCAAAAGCTGAGTTCTCTCTATGCCCCGGTCTCTGGTGGGCGTGCCTGTGCCTGGCTCCTCTTACTCCTCTGAGTCAGAGGTTAGACCCATTTTGCAGATAAGGGATCAGAGGCTCTGGGAGGTGAACTCACTTGCCTCAGCTCGTTGGTGAAGCTGGAATGGGGTGCAGGTGGTCAGAGCCCAGAGCCCATCTCGCGAGCAGCGAGCAGTGAGCAGCGTGTGAGAGAGTTGCCCAAATCTGATGAGGCTCGAATTTCAGGGCCGGGCTGTGTGGGGAACAGAGGGCTCATTGTGGAGGCTTCTGCTCCCAGGGGCTCAGTGAGGGAGCCAGACATGTGAGCAGGGACTGTCTACACCAGGGCCGCGGTGCAGTTACATAACCAGCGGTGGACACAGCACAGGTGGTGGCTGAGAGATGCGTGTGGCCATCAGACTTCTTAGAAGCAGGCTCCCTGGGAGGCTGGCCTGGGGCGTTTGCAGGTGGACAGGTGCAGAAGGAACAGCAGGTGCAAAGGCTTGGAGGTGGGCAACACCTGAATGTCTGATGCCCCCAAAGGAGAGGGAGATGGGGACAGAGTGGTGTGGGAGGGTGGGGCTGGCTTATGAGGAGCCATATGGGGGGCACTGAACACTGTTGATGATGGCTACGGGATCTCTGTTCCAGAGAGTTCTCCAGCGGCTCTGGTGGGGTGTTGAGGAGAAAGGAAGGATGAAGGGAGAGAGATGTACAGGGAAAGCTCTGGGTCCCAGGCTGGCGAGGAGCAGCAAGCACACAGAAAGAAAGGGCTTCATTTCTCCAGGGGGCTCCCCAGTCAGCAAAGTGGGCGCAGCTGTCCCGGGGGGAGGTTGAACACCTGGCCTTGCCCTGGACCCTGCTCCTCAGAGCAGAGACTTCTGGGAGGGTGGCCAAGGTTGTGTACAGGTGACGGGGGGAAAGGTGTAGGTGTGGGACCCTCGACTCCTTTGCAAACAGATCAAGTGTGCTCCGTGCCACCTCCTTACAGCTGCCCTGGGCTCGGCTCACATTCCGCCCCTCCCCCTTCAGGCCCCAGCGTTCATCCTGCACCCAGAGGAACTGGCTCTCCCGGTTCTGTAAGTGCAGGTGAGTGAAGCCCTGGCCTAGGAGTCTCAACTTGACCTTGAGATCAAGCAGGGCTGGGGCCCACTCCCTCCAGCCCAGCAGCTGAGGAACGGAAGGAAGGCGAGGAAGGACACGCAGGGAGGTGGCCGGGTCCTGCGTCCCCTCTTCTCTCCCGCGGTACTCAACTACATTTTACATAACACATAGGTGGTGTTTGCCACGTGGGGTAGGTGTTATATTCTCAGTTTCACAGATGAGGAAACTGAGGCAGAGGGGCCAAGTAGCTTGTCTCCCACTGTGAGCCCGGTCGGCGGGAGAGCCACACTTGCACAGCCAGGCTTTCCTCCACTAAGCAGAGGTTCTCAAAGTGGGGTCCCCCGCCACCAGCGTCAGCGGCACCTGGACCTTGCGGGGATGCACGTTCTCGGGCCCCCCCCCTGAGCCCACCGACGGGGCGGGGCTCGGCAGTCAGCTCCGACCTGGGCGCTCTGGAGCTCGCTCAGGCGTTTCCTCCATTAGCACCGCTTACTGCACAAGCCGTGGACTCTCCGCCAAGGCCTCGTCTGTGGCTGTGCGGTTTCCTTGTGTTCTTTGCAGACATTGCAGACGGGACCTGCAGGGACCCCGCGTGAAAGGGTCCCCGGGCTGCTAAGCGGGCCTGTGAACCGTCCCAGTTACGTTCTATTCAGGGACCTGGCTGTGAAATGGAAAGACACGTAGGAGATGCTCAGTGGTGGCTTTGTGGACCGTGTGTTTTTGCTTTTGACTACGAGATGATTTTAAGGACCGAATAGAACTATCTGGTGGCCCGTAGCCCTGACGCCCGGCTCTAGGCTGGGAGCTGCTGCGGAGCCGAGCATTCCAGGCCCCGGGGCTGGGCTTGGGAGCTCCCACTCCTCTCAGCCCCATCCACCTCCCCACACACTGACCGCACTTTCCGGCGTATAAGACGACCGGGCATATAAGATTTTCCTGGGTTAAAAAGTCGTTTTATAAGCCGGAAAATACAGTAGTCCAATATATCTAATCCATTATATCTAATCCTATCAATATAGTCCAATATACCGTATTTTCCAGTGTATAAAACGACTTTTTAACCCAGGAAAATCTTATACGCCCGGTCGTCTTATATGCCGGAAAGTACGGTACATGTGGTTCCCGAGACCAGGGGAAGGTGCAGACCCTCAGCTACCCCCCTCCCCCAACATAAAAAGAAAGCATCTTTTGTGCAAAAAGTAGGGAGATAACCTAAACACAAACCCAGCAAACAGCCTAGAAACACTCCAGTCCCCCCCGCCCCCCCGCCCCCCCGCCCTTTAAATAAAGACAGGGAGTGAAGGCCTAACCCCACCCCCACCCCCAACTCCTCTGCAGACTTAGTAACCCAAGGACACCTGTGGGGCAGGTGTCCCCCAGACCAGAACTCAGTCCCCCGAACATGATGCCTTCACATCTCTGAAGAGCGAACATGATGCCTTCACGTCTCTGAAGAGCCCTCTTCCCTTCCAGGGGACACGCCCATGTGGGAGGAGTGTGTGTGACCTTTGGCCCGGGTGGTCCTGCGGGCCGAGCCCTCTGGCCTCTGCCACTTACTCCTCTGGGCTCGGCCATTTTGCATCCTGCCAGCAGAAGCAGCTGGGCGCAGGTTGGCACAATGGCACTTGTGTGGCATTCCACTGGCCAGCGGCGTCCCAGGCCCGCCCGGATGCCAGGCGTGTGGCACGGACTCGCTTCTGGAAGAGGAGCTGCAAAGTCGCCTTGCCAAGGGGCATGGGTCAGAGAGCGGGACAGTGGGGGCTGTTTCTACAAATAACTGCACCGGGATGGCTGCATTTAATTCTCACAGCAACCTCTGGCTTGAGGGGGAAACTGAGGCACAGAGAGGTCAGGCCCTTGTCTCGGCCAGGAATCGCAGCATAAACCCAGAGTCTGAGCTGTCGCTCTCTGCACTCAGGCCTGTGTGCCGGGACCGGAGAGAGACACGTGCCCCGTTCTTGCCCCCGGTGCTCACCGCCCTCACCTCCGGGACTGCAGTCATGCCTAGGCACCGGGAAACCGTGGGAGGCAGGAGTGGATTGCTCGGGCCACCTCAGAGAAGTGTCTGTCCAATCCCTCCTACCCCCTCCTCTTCCTCTTCCAAGAAAGCCTGTGGCCTTCTTCCCAGGCCCTCGCGCCCCATTCGCAGGCGTGGGGTTACAGACAGGCTGGCCCCTCGGTGGCCTTCGTCAGACCCCACTGGTGTGTACATTGGGCTCATAAATAATTCAGGCTGGCAGTTCTCCA